ATTATGTATACACACGTCAATAAAATGAAAGGAGATAAATTATACAGAGTACACTTACAGTAGAAGACCACTTGGAGACCTGATGAACCTACACGTAAGCCCAAGCCGTCTATATAGTCGCAGTAAAACGTGTGCGTGCTTGAAGCAGTTTCCGACACAACTGAAAGATAACAAAGTTTGCAAATATAAGTAGGCATCGAAAAAGGTAATACGTATGATTGAAATACGCGGGTGCGGGGGGGGGGGGGCACAATTTACTTATTATGTTACCGATAATCCAATATTAGCTTTGCAATGAAAGAGATAAGGTGACCAAAAAAAAAGAAATTTACACGAAAGATATATATAGCATAGACAGTAAAACGTGTGCACCAATTTTATCCACAGAGTCTGCCAGGATGCTAAAATTATTCTTTCAGAGAGCATAGCACTGTATGAGTCCAACGAAACGACTCTTTCCAACACGGTAAAGTTAGTCAAAAGCTTACAAGCCAGGGAGGGCATTCGATCCAAAACAATTTATTGTCCGCTTCCCTTAGTCGAGTGACAAGATAGTCGTAAATACTTTGGAATCAACACAAATTAGGTACGAACACCCACTTAGGGATTCGAACCAGCGCTACCCGCACCAAAGTCCAGCCCGATGCCTACAGAGCAAACAGCGAATCTTTCAGAGTGTACATTAAACCATGTATGGCCTCTGGCTTCTGTTTCCTTTTTTCCAAATCTAACATCTATCTTTCTTCACATTCTCCATTGTTTGCTGCTGTACCCTTTCTTTTCTTTTCCTCCTCTGCTTCTCACTATCGTCTGACTATTTCTCAACATTTTCTTCCCATAGCTTTCCTCTTCCTCTTTTTCTAAAAGTTATTTCATCATTATCATCATCATCATCATCATCATCATCATCATCATTATCATCATCATCACCACCACAATCACCACGTCCACCTCCACCATCACCAGCTCTATCAACACCATCACAACCAACAACAACAAAAACAGCAACAATAACATCATCAATAAAAAAAAAAGTTCGAGCACTGTAATACTTCAATACTAGGGCTGACTGAAAAATCTTCCCATCCAGATAATACTTTCCCAAAAATTATCACCATGCCTGATCACAAACGTTATACCAAATGCAAGGTTAGGTGGTCTGCTATAAAATTCTACGGGCCTCTAATGGTCTGGAGGTTACGGTATTTCCTTCTCATTCAATAGGTCCCAGGTTCGAAAACTCACAGCTGTGGACAATTTTCTTCCCTAAAATTTTCTCCTTTCAGTTCCTTTCCTGTTCTCTAACAATATTCTGTCGTCTTCTTTCATCTCATCCGCTCTCTACCCCCTCTACCCCCCTCCTCTTTGTCCCCTCCTCTGGGCTCGTGACTTTCTGCAACCTTTCCACTGCTACTCCTTGGCTCCTTCTTACTGCTGTCTTTCAGCCACACCCCTAGCTTTCTCTAGTAAATGCAACAAAAATATCTAAGGTCGCTTGTGCAAACCGCACGTGTTAAAGATTCCTTTGTGGTCCAAAATCGATAAGAGTAGGCTTTGGCCGCCACCCGGGCGGCAAAGCTCAAAATTAATTCCCATCAAATTGGTTAACGTTTAATGAATCCCGTACGCTCATAATATGAACTGATGCTGTTTGCGAGCAATGTAAAACACTTACAAAAACAAAAAGCAACATAGAATTCTACCTTTATTTTGCCACATAATCATCACCTCTGACAACACAGGTGTGCCAGCGAGGATTGCCACTAAGTACGAATCATGAGTTCACCATTATGACCCAGAAAACAAAGAGACAATCCAGGAAATTCAGGGTTAAAGATTCTTTATGTCCTCAAACGCTCAGAATTGCACATTTCATTGGGATAGTGCGCTTGGTTGTGTTTTGTCATTATGAAGGAATAATACGCATAGAATTCTTGGAGCAGGAAAACACTGTTTACACTTATTCAAAATTGAAAATACATCGAAACCTTTGGGCACGTTTAGCCAGAGTTCGGTCTCTCAAAATGGCATTATTTGTTAAGAACATACTGGTCCTAACATGCCAAAGGACTACGGATGCCATAAAACGATTCAGATTCGAGGAGGTTTCCCCACATCCTTTCTATAATCTAGACTTGCCCATTTGGATTTTTATTTCTTTTTTCCAAAGTTAAAAGAACAATTTGGGGGAAATCAATATAACGGCGATGAAGAAGTCGAAGTTGGTAAGTTTCAATTTTCCGCCGACATGATGCATAAACTTGTTCATTGGCGCACCTTTGTTAACAGAGAGAGACTGATTTTCTGAAAATTTAAAGGTAGAAATGGTAGAAATCATTAATTTGGTATAGACACCTAAACTTAATGTTCGTGGCGAGATTATAATGGCAATTGGGATGTAAGTGGCAAGACTATTTATTAAGTCAGCCCTCTTTTATGTTCCAATCACCTATGTCCTGGGTAGTGTCCGGCATACTTATTGCTCCCTTGTACCATTCATACGTCACGGGCAGCACATGAGGGACCCCACAAACTGTCCCACAGGTCAAGGTCACCGACTCCCCGGGATGAAGGAAGACGATCGTTCCGTTGGCAGGCTCCGAAGGAAAGATCTTTGCTTTGTCTTGGAGAGCGTTCGGATGAATACGATAAACAAATATAAATTTACCAACTAAATTAAATAAATAGAAAACAGCAGAATTTTACTACATTATTTCACAATTTTTTAAAAATATTTTCAGGGTTTGGATGAATCTCAGCGGGATAAGGCTTTTTATTTATTTTTTCCAAAAGTACAAAGTTTGGGTGAGATTGCTCCACCTGCTAAAGAGATATTTGAGGACAAGTTGAGCCACGAAATTTTTACCGTACTATAGAAGTTTGGCTTCTTCAAAAGGTGGATGAGACAGGACAGTCTGAAACAGAATTGTTGTGTTGAAAAGTTTTCCATAAATACACTCCCTCATCATCGTTGCATCCCTGGTGATGCAATTGCATTTTTGTCCTGCTTTCTGCTCCTCTCCCTGTTGTGTTGATATATAATGTTGCTCCAATAAATGCAGTCACGAATATCCTGTTCCCATTTCCGTTCTACCTTCTCCTTTTCTCTCCTTCTCCCTCTCATCTCTCATTTTTATTTTTATATGCCAGAGTCAAATCAGTTTTGAGTCCTGATTATTTATTAACTGACGGTTCCCCATGTGAAGTTTTCTGTAGGATTTCATCACTCTATTGGGGGGG